TGTTCAAATTTATATCAGTCTGCTTCAATTCAAGGTAAAATTTACAAGTTCTTACAGTTTTGAATGTTCACTTATTGCTTCATCAAAGTCATTTGTCTCAATACATGTAACTGTTCCATCATTTATTCACTCCCAAAAACTGTAACAAGTTTGATACCTGAAACAGTAGATTATTTATTCTCCATAAAATGAATGCTTGTTATTTCTTCGATACCTGCTAAATCAATTTCATCTCCAACATAATTGATGGGCCTTTCAAAAATGTGTTCATTTTTTTAGGTATCCTTTACCCATCTTGTTTTACCACTTGTTTTAAAGTTTTTTGCAATTTCGTAACATCGCAGGAATCTTGCTGAATCCTGTATAAAATGTTTGCTGAGTTAATATCGGAAATATTCTATATTCTTCAGCAATCTCCGTAGAGATTTCCACTGTTTTGATGAATCATAGAAAGTTTGTGTGGGGGAAGAAAATTAACTTCAATTCAATTTTATTATCACAACAGCAAAGTCAACATTTGAAATAATGCTGAATGGAAGGAAAATGAGAGAGAGTTATTAAATCATGTAAGGGATTTGATTATTTTGATAATAGAATATATTGCAATGAACTCCCCTATTTGAGAGCATGATAACATTTTTGCAACTATTGAAAATATAAGGTTGGCTTATTTGCAAACAATTTCAGTTTTATATGCAAAGGCTATTATATTATCTATATCAATAGATTAGATTCAAACATCACACAGGGAAATGTAATCAAATTTGAAGACTGAATAAAGTCACATAACTCTGCCTCCATAATGTTAAGCTGTAAGTCTTGCCTCCATTAAGTGAAGTCCCGTAACTCTTGCCTCTATAAAGTTAGCATTATGACTCTTGAAGAATTAGACAATGCATTAGTTGTGTTATTTTCTGCCTCATCCTAAAAGCAATTTTTTTAAGAGTTACTTCCCTTTTGTAACTTGAAAAGTGAAGTGTATACCAGCTATAACTCTTTTGAAAGTTGTTCCCCTTTACAGACAAGTTTACATGCTGTGTTCCTTTTTTGCATTTGTACAATTGATTGAGTTGTCCTGCTTTAAATTACAGAATTAAGTCAATTAGTTTAGTTACAATAATGCCAATATTGAAAAAATTGAGCATTCAGTTGCATGTTCAGGCCTTGCACCATATACCTGATGTGTTCAGTATATCTATCTTCAATTTTTCTGTCCCTACAAATATGTAAAATATCTCCCTGATTAATTAAATGACATATGAGTTGACATTAATCCCTGAAATAAACAACTTTTATTCTGGCAGCAGGAAAAATTTGACTTTGTAACTAGAGTGCTATTTTGGCAAAAAACATTGAGAACGAAGCGCATTTTTCCTATGAGTTATATGACAGTTATATGAAATATGCAGATATATTGGCAAGCATTTAGCAGTCAGGTGTTAGAACACGGGCTATCATTCAGCACTCTAACATTTGTTAGCACAGCATTATTATCCCCGGGTATGATGACAGTTTGCTGCCCAGATACACGTTCTATAAACATCTGCTATGCTATAATGTCTGCAGTAACAACAATGTTTTTTGTATAATGTTTTTGATATATAAATATTATCCAATGAGATGTTGTTCCTATAATTATATGTATTTGTTTTAGATTTTTTGTTGTTTGTTGTTGCTTTGATTGCTTGTCAGAGATATTGAATTACTTCCCCTTGTTTTACATGCAGTATAATAAGTGTAAGAGTTACTTCCCTTTTAAATTGTAGCTATTGCAAAACATTAAGTTTTGTAACAATTTAAGCTGAAGAATGCTATTTTTTTTCAACAGAGTTAAATTTCAATACATTCTTTAGTTCACTTCTCATTGATAGTAAAGTTTGGAATTATATCTCACTGACAATCCTAAATTCCTCAGTTCAAAATTTGAACAGGATACAAAAAGTGCCTATAATAATAGGCATTAAGTTCTTTTTGTATTCAAGGGCAATGTTTTAGTAAAAAGTCTTAAATTACCACCCTTTGCATCATTTTGAATTACTTCCCTTATTGAATATAAAAGCATGTCAGTATTCAATGAATGTCAAAATTCTGAGACATTTATAATTAAAATGTTCTTATGTCCCAGTTTATTTGAAAACAAAAGTTACCCTTTTATATAAATATAGCATTTTCTATCATAATTATTTTTGAAAGAATCCTTCATGTCAATTAGTAAGAAACATAAAATTTGGAGCAAAACACCCAAAATTACAACATAAAGTAAGTAAACATGATTATTATCATCAGTGTAAGCAATTATTTCGACTGCATAACATCATATTATGACAGATTTTATTATAGCTCACAGAATTATATAGTTCAGATTGTACACTAGTTTCTCATGAGGCGACAGCAGACCCTAAAAAAAGTTTTCTCGTAAAGAAATAAAAGCCAGGGGAAAATTCCCAGCCCCCCTGCTTGAGAAAACTATTAGAGAAAATTGAAATGAAAATGTCTTAGTACCCCTAGCATCACTCAATTTTACAAACTGAAGACACCTGCTCTAAAAGAGAAACAAAAATTGTAATCACAGAATTTTCGTAGGAATCTTAGATCTTGTATCCAGGCTTTAGAACGATGCTAAAATGATGCTTAAACTGAAATAAACTTGTGAAAACGTTTTGGGAAAATTGCTTGTTTGTTTTTTTCTCCACAAAAACAAAGTTCATTAAGAAGCTATTAAGCATTTTTTTTCCGTTTAAAAATCCTAAACAAACAAGTTTTTGAATGTCACACACAAGTTCTGAAAAGAATTTAAATCTTAACATGGAAATGTTCTCTTTACAGTCATCAATAGAATATTGTTTTAAAAATAATTCAAGATTTAAAGTCAAGTCCTACCCTTTAAATCTGCTGGAACTAAAAATAATTTAAGCCTTTAATGTCACCGGTATAGCTGCGGTCTCACATCCCGGCAGAGCCCCCGTAGTTTCCGGGGTGATCCTGGAACGACCTGGCTATGACCGGGAACAACCGGAGTACATCTGTATATCTGCCGGCAACGTTCGGGATGATCTGGGAACAGCCGGCATTCAACCCCGGATGGATTCAAATATTTAATATCACCATGGTCATCCGGGAGTAAGTGAAACTGCAGCTTATAGAACTAGGCCAGTCACGTAGTCTGACCAGGATCTATATACTGTAGGCTGACCATTGTTAAATTTTCACATTTATATTCTTAAAACTGATTTGACCATCCAAAAACTGTAAGCTCGATGAGGTCATGAAAGAATTTAAATATGTAAACTTAAAGGATTAATAGCCAAAATCACCAATAGCAACATCAATCAAAATGAATGTCATTAAATTTTGAATTATCTATACCCCATAAAAGAATGAAGAAATTATGAATATTATAACAATATAAATTACATTAATGCAGGCAGTGACTGTGACTGGGGGGGTTGGTTGGGTGAATGGTTAAATATTTTGAAATATTTAAATTGATAGAATGTGTACAAACCTGCCTTCATGTGTTATACAAACAACCTGATAATTTTACTCTGTGGACTAGAGTGTTTAGGTTGTTTGTATGCAAGAGGTTATTTGAGTTTGAATCCCATGCTGAACTCTGGCTACATATTTCATAGCATTTGTATCATGATGGTACATATTGAAATGTTTACAGAATAATATAAAACTAAATTAATGTATAAGATTATAATATCATCAATGACATAATGACTCACTCAAGTTTGATGTTTCTAATTATACCTTTATATAATTGAACTTTTTATTTTTCATCAGGAAACACAATTTTGATATAGAAATGTCATCGTTGCATCATCGTACATGAGAAGTTTATATCTATTGACCTACTCGGGCCTTAAATGGAAGCTGTTGTTATAATAATTATGTAAAATAAGTGGATTACAAGTTGATTGAAGTGCTATAATAAACAATATGTGACCAGTAGGTGGTTGATCTGTAGATTATTGTATGATTTGAAGCCTGTTATAATAAATAATAATTGACCAGTGGGAGGGTGAGAAATAAATACAATGCCAGCATTCCTGGTAATGGGCCAGTGGTAGAGGTCATCTCCAGGAAACAAGTGGAATATCTCAATCTTGTCACATCGTAGTATTTCATATAACATTAAAGAGATTGTTATGATGTTACATGAGTTACTTTTATGATGTTGGTAACTTTAATGTGGATGTTTGGATTTTTCATTCCAGGTCGTATTATTGATTATGAATGTTCTGTTCCTTTTATTGAAAAGACCTTAGTTTTATTAAATGAATTCAGTTAACAACCAGTAATAGCATATTCCTTATGAAATTTTGAAGAGTTTTAAAGTATAAAAATTGATGCTTATTTGACTTAATAGTAATTGAAATATTGAAATAAAGCAATTCTAGATACAGTAATATTCTTGAAAAGTTTTCATCGTTTTCTGTGATCATATTAAGTATTCATCTTTTCATTTATTTGAATTTTTATTCTTAATAATTTGTTGAAAAATTAATGAATCCATGATAAGAGGTTATTTTTTTATTAATGTTTTTAAATAAAATTAAAAGGCTTTTTTATTTTTAACTAAAATTTGACTCCTATGTAACAATAATATTACAAAAATATAATTTAAAACAAATTGTTGCATTATTATGAAGGGTAATTAAAGAAAGAAAAAAAAAGAAATCAACGTTGTTGAACCTTCAACAGTAGAACATTATGTACAAGGACAATATGACTCTGTCCTTGAGACATTTCTTTTCATTGCTACCAGATATTTTCTTAACAATACTCTTTTGTTTAGTTTTGTATTTTGAGAATTTACCAGGCTCTCAAATTTCTGCTAAAATGCTAAGAAAATGCAGCAGAAGTGCTTGCAGACTCATTGTTATCACCATACCTTTATCAATTCATAAGACTTATTCTGATTGGCTGTCTGTTCATGTAAGCTGCAATTTGATTGGTTGAAACACCTGGTTTTAGAATTTTATTTCTGGCAGCACTGCTCTGATCAAAATGTACATCAGTGGGAATATATAGTAGCTCGGTGCCATCCCACCACAAGGAACTTAACAACACTTGTAAAACTGTTGTTGATTTCAACATATTGTTGTGTGAGTAATTGTTCAGTGTGCCATTTGTGTGTAATTTCAGAATAAGCTGGGATTTCTAGTGTGTACACCAATGTGTAAAGTGAGAACAGAATTTTGGATACATCATCTACATTTCCGATCAAGTGTGTGATTATAAACCTAGCTAACCTGGATTTTTTATTGTTTATATCACAGAACATTATCTTGGAGTAGGGCTAAACAGATTCTCAGGTAAGATAAAAGAAATCTTCCTCAGATGTTTGGTAATATTAACAAGCACATAAAGCCACAAAAATCTCTGTGCTGTATGGATTGTATTTTTATCGAACTCTAAATATTACTCTATAAAACTAATCTATCTTATTACTTAATGATTCGCACCTTTTGATAATGTTATATCTGTTTACCAATTACCATTAAGGAACGATTACTTCGTATGCACTTTGATGCAGTTTTCTAAACGAGGAGTCCTGTTATTAAAGCTGAATGATCACTTTGAGGTTTTTTAAACATTAAATCATTATCAATGAGAAAATAACCCATAAAAAACAAAGTTTAAACATTTCTAAGGTGAAAAAAAGATATTTGATGTTTAAATTATCATCTTTTGATAAAAATTAGAAGAAGAAATTATCACGTGGGTGCACAGCAAATCATGAGTAAAATACATTTTGCACTTTCAATACTGGTACTTTTAAAATACGTGTGTAAGCCCTGAAGCTAGGAAAACTGGAATATGTAAATTTTGTTTTGCCTAGAGTATGTAGTTGAATATATTCAAATTAGTTTTATTTGAACCATTAGCAGTCATGCAAGTGCTGCGGAAAGGGATTGCACAAATTTTTAATTATCGAGGGTGCATATCAAAATAAGATTTAAATAACAATACCATTTGACAAACTTGTAAACTAGATATGTTATAGAGAGGAACGGCTGAAATGATGTCTTATTACTGCAGAAGTTACTACAAATAGTTAAATGGATCAGTGAGTCTAAATTTAGCAAAATAAATTTGATTTTCATGGAATTTCTGAGTGACATTTTACTTGATTTGCCATGTTTATTTAGTTTTATTCTACAATAAAGTTTAAATAATGTCACCTGAAAATAGCCCAGAATATTTAAAAGGCTAAACTGTGTCAGTCAGAATTATTTATTGTATACGTAACATACATTCTGATTGACATAATATAATAACCAGAAATAATTTGAAATATATTTTCAAAAGTTTAGTCAGTATAATGCATCAAAATGTTTTGCAGTAGTGTTAAATCAATTTGCTTGCACAAAGCAAAGCAAAATAACAAAATATGAAGTGCAATGGTAATGGTAAAAGTATTATGTATACAAAAAAAGCAAATTGGCAAAACATAAACTATAAAGAAATTGTGATTGTGTGCAGAAATGTATCAATAAAGCAGAGACAAAACATATAATCCAAATATTATAATGCTTCAGATATAAAATATACTGTTCTATTCTGAATACCAGTATTTAACATCCATTTGAAATGTTACTATTATTACTAATTGCTTTGATGCCTGTTATTCATGGACTTGACAAAATGAAAAAAAAATGTTATTGTTGCTACAGCCAACAATTTCTAGAATACTTGAGTTAAATAGCATGTACAACTAATTTACCATGAGCTAAGATATTGTGTTATTAAATATAATAATATTATGGTCTATATTCTACCCTCTTGAAGTGAGATTCTGACTGAGGACAAAATGTATATTTGGATGTTATAATATTTTGACCAGTTCAGCAAGAACTTGAAGGACAAATGATTGCAGCTAGATTAGTCTTTGTTGGACTTGAATGCAACTTACTGTTACATTTCTTTGGTAATGTTGATTTCTGTTCACTTATGTTTACATTGAACACATGAATTATTGGGAACATTCACAATTTAAAACTGCATTTTTAGAATTTAAATAACATTGACAACAATATTTTACCCTTATTTACCATTATTTTCTATCTAAGTTCAATCTAATGCTTAACTCATAAGAAAGTTTGTGGAAAATATTACAGTCTATCATGGCAATTACATTATAATGGACAAATCAAACCCGTGAATTTGATCATTTGCTTTTATAAGCAAATAGATTTAAGTTGAATTTATCTTATAATTTGAACAAAGCAAATATAAGAAATGAAGAACACTTCAAAGCTAAAGCTTGAAAAATTGAAGTTTGTGCAAAAAAACGTTAGGAAAAAAAACGTCATTCGAAAGCATCATGCTTAGAACTCTTGTTATAATGTTACTGATGTTCCTTTTTAGCAATGAACTTGTAGACTTTGGAAATGTTATAAAGGTAGAAAAAAACATGCCAATTGACCTGATTATGTCATTGTGACTGATAACTAAAAAAACAATACAAAAACATTACTGATATACCTGCACTGATTTACTGATTTGTATGCCATTTTTTATGGGACAAAACCAGACTTGATGACAAAAAATATACAGGTTGCAAAGTCATCAAAGAGCATACCATTCAGTAATAGCTTGCAGTGAAAATGAATGGTGATAAACGTAAAAAAAAAGTAATCAGAATTTTCTTTCTGTAATAAAAATGCATGTTTTGTCATGTCGTTTCGTCATTATGTAGGGATTTAGATTGATTTGTTGTCATACAGAAGTGTTTCCCAACAGCCAAGGTGCTAGCAATATGTCTGTTTAAAACATTACGAGCATAGCTATATTGCCTAATGTCAGAATTTTTCCCATTCACTATTTGACTGATGGCTGGTTATATGTATATATATTTCCTAGATATTTTTCTGAAAACCTTTATAGCAAAAATGATGTACCTTGAATGATATTTTCTTATAGAGTAAGTGTAGTAGTGAAGTTAAAGGTTGTGAGTTATAGAACAGTAGAAGTTACAACCAGGGGTGTCACAATTCCATGCCAAAACACCTAGTTTATCACCAGTTTTCTTTGGCATCTGATTTATAATGGTTTTCTAATTACTGTGGCTGATTTGTTATAGATAAAATATCTACCATTTTACTCATCATATTATTAAGATTCAGTTTTAAAAGATAAAAATATGGTATGTTTAGTTTAACCTACTTTCAAACTACCAGTAATAATATAGATATATTTGAACTTATTTTGAAATTTGTCTCAAAGAGAAAAAGTTATGGCTTTACTTTAACATACGAAGTCGGGTTGAAAAGCTAAAATATACAGATAACTTTTTAACAAGTATTTGTATTTATTTTCTAAAGTAGGTTCAGTTAGAAAGTTTTCTCCTGCAAACATGCCAATATTCAGATAAAATTCAAATAAAATTCTTGGTGATTTTGAAATGGGCAGCTATTGAGGTAATGCTTTCCTTGTTCCTAAAAGATTTAAACACTTTTAGAAATTGTTAGTCTTATCTATAATTGCCTTTATGGCAGCTTTCTGTACAAATATGTTTCTAAAACTTTTATCTTGCATACAAAACACTGAAATGCTTTTAAAGGTGTAATTGTTATGTGCAGTTTGAGCTATCTTGGACAAGTTTTGAGAAATTTGCTACCTAAATGAATGAAACTTCATTGTAAAGTATCTCATAATGTAGCGGCCATTTCCCAGCTTCTCACTGGTTTTGATAATTTAATTGTTTATTTTTATGCCCCCAGTATTTAAGGATAGGGCATAAAGATTTCCCTTGTCAGTGATCACAATGTCAGTCTGTAGATTTGTAACTTTAAGGTACAAGTAAGTGTACACTTTAAGCTCCTCATGCTTTATTTAAGGTACAAGTAAGTGTACACTTTAAGCTCCTCATGCCTTATTTAAGGTACAAGTAAGTGTAGACTTTAGCTCCTCATGCTTTATTTAAGGTACAAGTAAGTGTACACTTTAGCTCCTCATGCTTTATTTAAGGTGCAAGTAAGTGTACACTTTAGCTCCTCATGCTTTATTTAAGGTACAAGTAAGTGTACACTTTAGCTCCTCATGCTTTATTTAAGGTACAAGTAAGTGTACACTTTAGCTCCTCATGCCTTATTTAAGGTACAAGTAAGTGTACACTTTAGCTCCTCATGCCTTATTTAAGGTACAAGTAAGTGTACACTTTAGCTCCTCATGCCTTATTTAAGGTACAAGTAAGTGTACACTTTAGCTCCTCGTGCCCAATTTAAGGTGCAAGTTAGTGTACACTTTTAAGCTTCTCATGCCAAATTTAAGGTACAAGTAAGTATACACTTTAGCTCCTCATGCCTTATTTAAGGTACAAGTAAGTGTACACTTTTAAGCTCATCATGCCTTAATTAAGGTACAAGTAAGTGTACACTTTTAAGCTCCTCGTGGCTTATTTAAGGTACAAGTAAGTGTACACTTTTAAGCTCCTCATGCCTTATTTAAGGTACAAGTAAGTGTACACTTTTAAGCTCCTCGTGGCTTATTTAAGGTACAAGTAAGTGTACACTTTAGCTCATCATGCCTTATTTAAGGTACAAGTAAGTGTACACTTTTAAGCTCCTCGTGGCTTATTTAAGGTACAAGTAAGTGTACACTTTAGCTCATCATGCCTTATTTAAGGTACAAGTAAGTGTACACTTTTAAGCTCCTCGTGGCTTATTTAAGGTACAAGTAAGTGTACACTTTAGCTCATCATGCCTTAATTTACGGTACAAGTAAGTGTACACCTTATTGGAACAACCAACATTATGTAGACTAGCTGCATAGTCTGATCTTAAAACATCACTGTAATGAAATAAAATATAAAACCATCAGGAACAGGCAACTAATTGTTCTGACAAATGAAAACCTCCAGGAATTGGAAAATAATTTCATCAAGTGAAGTAGATAAACACTGTCAATGAGAGAAAAAAGAATAAAAGAAAAATGAAAATCAATGAAAGTGGTAATTATTAAATGTGTTAAATTAAAAAAATATAGATAAATATCAGGAAAAGATTTATACTTTAGATTTTATAAATAAATGGAAATATGTCTTTGCAAAAATAAATGTATTTAAATGCTTATTTTCTGTACCTATTTTACGATAGGTAATATTTCACTTATCTCTGCCTATCTTTTGAAAATTCTCTGATAAAATTGATTTCATATTCAGCAACAAAAGCAATAGATAAACATTGCATGATATACAACAATTATATTGAATATTGAGCTCATTTATTTACTACAGTAGTTCTAGACTATTACAAGTCTACAATTGATCATATTGCTTATTCATATTAACCTTAACCTTTCTGGAACAACA